TTTTTTTTTTTTTTTTTTTTTTTTTTTTTTTTTTTTTTTATTGCGAGCTGACGCTAGTCCTCACGGGTTTTACTGACGTTCGTTTTTTTCTGTCTGGTTATTTTCATCCAGTTCTCTAGCTAACATCGGTTTAGGTAAATACTCTTACTAGTCTAAGTGGTTTCTAACACTTGCTTTTTCAGGTGTAGTTTATATCACTGGTGAAATGCAGGTTATAATTTTGCTTGCTGAAGATGCCATAGCTTCAGCAGAGTTTTATAGTCATGTTAATCCAGCTCAATGGTTTAAAAAAAAAAAAAAAAAAAAAGCCTTTAAAAGACAGCAGCATCAATCCCTAAGCTATCTGAGGATGTTTGACTCGTTGCAGATGTGAGATGGGTCAATGTCTTGATCTCCACTGTCTCTCCCATGCAGATCTGTTCAGTGAAAGGAGCGTTGAGTAAGAAGCACTTTCCAGGTCCAGTCCTTCAAGCTTGTGTTTTTTTCTTTCCAACGAAGTGTTCACACTGAACAGTTCACTAATATAATATGATAGTAAATGCCTCCATCATCCCTATTTCATATTAATCTTCATGTGTTTGCACAATCTGCAGCACTAAAAGACATAATGCAAAATGGAAGAAGTCAAAATCTTTGAAGAGAGGGTAATTGGAAGGTAAATTGACAGAGCAGTATGGAGATGTGTATTCCCTCTGCAGGCATCAAAGCCTGTCAGAAGCCAGTTATCCAAGTTCTTATATTGGCTAACTTCTGTGGTTATTCCTTTTGATAGTGTTTAACCTACAAACAAAGCTTACACTTATCTCCTAAAATAAACATTTACACGGGGGATATTCCATGTTTCAGTTTTGGCTCTTTATTACTGCAAGCCATTCCACTGCTTCCCAGTAGCAAATTAATGTTCTCAGTTCTGTGGGACTGAATTCTGTGAAGGCCTAGTCACTTTGCAGGAGTTGTTTTAATTCATTAGGTAGTTTTAAAAATCCTTTTACTTCATACCTTACTTGGAAAGCACTATTTTGTTTGGTAAATTAAGTTGACAGATGGGTTATTCATTCACTTTGTGGTAAACCACCTGTATATGACAGTCCTTGCAGAGTGTTTTCTAGTTAATAAAGTAGTTTTGTACCAGATCGTACAGTCTTACAATACTAGTGTGTAATGAATTAACTGTAGTACAGCCATTAGTATCTGTGTTGTGGTTTGTGCTCAGAGGGCAACTGAGCACCATGCAGCCACTCGTTTTCCCCTTCCTCCCCAGCGCAGAGAAGGGAAAAATAAAGCAAAGGTGCTGCTCACTCCCCTGTTCTCCCTAGTGCTGGCAAGGAGGAAATAAAGCAAAAGGCCCAGGAAATTGAGATAAGGACAAGGAGGAATGATCTCATCCATTAAGGCACAGGTAAAAGACAGACTTGTTAGGGGAAGAAAAAAAGAACATAAATTTAATACAGACACTAATAACAACATGTAACAGACAGAGTAGGACCATGAGAAGCATTTACCACATCTTGAAAACACCTTTCTCCATCCCTCCCTTCTTCCCAGGCTTAGTTTTGCTCTGGATATCTCTACCTCCTCGCCCCCCAACAGTGCAGGGGACAGGGAATGGGGGTGGGTGTGCGCAGTGGTTCTTGCTGCCTCTTCCACCTTGGGGTGGGGGGAACTCCTGGCATTCCTCCCCTGCTCCATCACTGTCCCCCTCTCACATGAGACAGTCCTCTGTGGACCAACTCTGACATCAGTCACTCCCAGGGGTGTATGGGTCACTCCCACGTGTTGCAGTCCTCCCAGTACTGAACAACAGTGGGGCTTCTTGCCATGGGGTCCCAGCCTTCTTTGGGTGCAGTCACCTGTCCCGGTGTGGGACCCCACACAAGCTGCAAATTGGTATCTGTTTCACCACAGACCCCCATGGGTGGCAGGGGGGTGGCCCTGCTGTCTCACCACGGGGTACAGGGGAGTCTCTGCTCCAGCACACCTCCCCCACCTCTTCTCCTTTCTTGCACTGACCTTGGTGTTCACACAGATGTTCTCCTCACAACTTTTCACAAGTCCAACAACTCCTCCCAGATTCGCCTGCTTAAATATGTTATTGCAGAGGTGCAGCTAATTGACCTGGCCTTGGTGCAAAGGCAGGTAAAACTTGGAGCTAAGGGAGCTTTGAGAAGCTTCTCACAGGGGGTCACCACTGTAACCCCCTCCCCTACTACAAAAAAAACCCCTGCCACTCACTCAAAGCAGGACACTTTGGTGTAAAATTATTCTTTGTTCACCAGACCTACTTAGAGGTTGCCATATCACACCAAACAAATTCACTGGTACTTTCTCTGTTGTTAACAGCTATATAAAAATGTAGGTTAAGTCCATCAAAATCAGTTTTACTTCCAAATCCTCACAGATGCAGTTGAAAGAATGATAAAGTGGTCCACTAATTTTGAGAAAACAGCAAGTCATGACCTGTGAGGGTTTGTCATTGAAAAGTTCTCAGGATAGCTATGGTCACCAGAAATTATTTTTAACAGTTGAAAGGAGAGAATAATTTTTCTCATTTTACCCTGCCAAATCCATTCTCTGACAGTTCTTGGGAAAAAAAAAAAAAAAAACCAAAAAAAACCCCACAAAACCCCCACCTTATGTAAGTTTATTATTAACATATTTTTACTCTTCCTTTTAACGTATAATATAGCAAATCCATGGAAAAAATACTTTGGAACAGTCTTTGGAAATTATGGGATATAATTGCAGTGAGGCTTTCTCTGTTGCATCTGTTTTCATATCTGCTCTAAGAATATGAAGAAAATGGTAGTGGAAGAGCAGGTAGGGTGAGAAAGTATAATTACTACTATGGGAGAAAATTGAGATCTGCCTTTCAAATGATTTAATCAAATGTTTTAAGAAAGAAATTACTTGCTCTGTTCTTCTAAAGATATTATTTTTCTAGATTCTCTTCTCTGAAGGAGAAAGATTTTGTAAAATTATATACATAGAGGGTTATGTCATGTAATGTCATGCAACACAGGGTAGCATAAGAAACCAAACAGTTGTACTCTTTAACATCTGCCTGTCCTCCAACAAGGAAGGCAGTATTGAAAATTTTCCATGCTTGAACATGATACTGGAAGCTTTCCACAGCAGCGCCACTGCTGAAAGCGCCACGCAAGAATGCTGATGTTACAAACTTGTCAGTCCCAAACCCGTGCCTTCCTCCCAGCACCCTTGTGCCTGGAAAAGCGCTTCCTTGTGCGCCTGGTTCCACAATAAACTGTCACTGTTTTTTCATTACACCACACTGTTCCTTTTCAGACAAAACCACAAATTCTGTCTCAAGAGATTCAGTCACTGTTACTCTTCTAAAGCAGTGATCTATGCAGTATTGACTTCAGTCGGTCCACATGGTTAATTTATTAACCACATGTGGATGACAGTTGTGGGGAAGAAGCATAAACTCCAGGACTTGAAGCTTACTTCTGCTTGAATAATTCAGCTCATGAAATGACTGTTAAGTTTTATAGCTCCCTGGCTTCAAGCCCTTTTGAGTTGCTAATCTGCTCCACAGTTACAATTTTGGGCACTATTGTTAACTCCACTTAATCTTCAGAAAACTGCATGTGAGGAGAGATAGGCAATCTAGTAACTAGAAATGCTGGATAGAAGGAAAAGACCAAGTGGGTGAGACCAGGTTATAGAGCTGAGAAATAGATTTAAAGCAAAGTGTGTCACTGACAACAAAAATGTGTGATTGGAGTGATAATACTTTACATCATGCTTATCTTCTGGCTTCTGTGGGCAGCTTCTACAGCTTTTCTGGATGCTGCTGTCAGTGTGGACAAGGCAAGGAAAGACTTTAACAACGTTTCCATCAACAGATCCATTGCAACAGATACTGTTCAGCTGAGGAAATTGCAAGCTATAGTTGCATTACCTTAAGTCTGACCAAACTTTCGTTCTGGTGTAAGTGTATTGTATGGTGACACTGTCAGTTTTAATTCAGTCAGATGGATGAAGAAGCTCTACTGTCTCTCCCCAGAGACTCTGCTGTTACCCAAATTCCTGTATGGAATATGCCTTCATGGCAATAAAATTCTCCTTTGGAAAGTGATCATTCTTGACTGATTACTGGTGAAAAAGATCTCTCTTATGGACCTGAGAAGTCCGTGTTTACCAGATAAATAATGAAAGCGAGTTAGAGCTGCTTTCAATTTTAATTTCACCTAACTTCACTAATAGTAATGCAAGATGTTGAAAGAAAAAGCAAATTTAGCTTTAATCAGCCATTTTTTGTTGTAGAAAAAGGTTAAAATCCAAGACACAAAAAGCATTTAAATAGGTCACTGCTTTAAAAAAACCTTTTTAATGTGAGTTACAAAGTCTACAGACAAACTGTGGGTTTTGCCGTATTTCATGTGTGTTTTGTACTCGATATATGGTAGGAGCTTTAGGATGAAAAGCAAAACCCAGAACTACCTAGGCCTCAACTTATCTAATGACAAAACTTATTTTACTGTAGTGTTCCAGTTATAAGCAGTTACTTTCTTTGTACCCTGATAAAAACCTATGTAACTGCAGCTGCCCAAAAGTTCACAAAACTGGTATTTCTGTCAGTATCTTAAAGAATTGTATTTAAGATAATATATTAGAGCTTTTCCCATTTTTTTCTGTTGTTTTATAACATGCAAATAATATGTAGTTTATAAAAATGAAATATATTTACTCTTTAAATATTACAGTTTTATTATATGTGCTATTGTAAAGCCTGCATAACCAGTTAAGCAGCTCGTAGGCAAACAACAGCCATGTTACACCGAACTGGTTTAGTCTGAAAGCTCAGGAACTTGTTTTGACTTTGTGCTGTGTACCAAATGCGTAAAACAAAGACAGCCTACATTAGACACTACCCAGGACAGCTGCAGAGCAGAGGCTGAACTGCAGTGGTCATATGATAGG